TCAATTTAATGAGGAGGCCACTTTCAGTTGGCAAGTTCAAGTGATGTTTGGACTTGATTAATATGTGGCGCACTTGATGCCCTGTCTGGATGTTGGAGAAGGTGGAGTAAATTAGTTTTTTGGATTGAGGAATTGTTAGTATATTTGAGTTAATGTGGAGATTTTTTATGGATGCCTCAAATACACATGATCAAACTCGGCATCTCGGCTCAATCATGCTTTGATCAAAAGAATGCTATTTTGAGTTAGTGGCAATTTGATTTATGCAAGGTCCTAATTGCAAAAGGACATAGATACCTATTTAACTTGGAAATAATCTTGATCAATTAAATATTCTAATTGATTAGGAATCCTACATATACTATAATTCAATTTCCTGACATATTCTATTACCACTGTGATTCAATTTCCTTAATAATCAAGCAATTGGCCTTTTAGTGTATATATATATATATGAGAAATATGGGTATGCTTGGTAGTGAGGTGGCACAATCTCCTCCACTCATTCAAATAGGGGACCACATTCACATGGGTTGAGTATTGCATGAGGATATGCAACCATTTGAATGAGTGGAGGAGATTATATCACCTCACTACCAAGCATAACTTTTTATGTTTGATACCAAGCATACCTATTTCTCTCTCTCTCTCTCTCTCTCTCTCTCTCTCTATATATATATATAGGGTCATCCAAGATTAAATTATCATCAATCTACAAAGCACCAATCATGAATAGAGAGTTCTCTTGTGAAGCCTACTTGATATTTTTTTCTCTTTTTTCACTTTCTTGAGGAGTAAGCAATTGGCCTTTTGGCTATATATACATAGGGTCATTTGAGATTAAATTATCATCAATCTATAGAGCACTAATCAAGAAAAGAGAGTTCTCTTGTGAAATCTATTTAATATTTTTATGTTTATTTATTTGAGAGAGATTATATTCAGTTTTTGGAGTGTATTAGGGATTGAGTGATTGAGAGATCACCACATTATATTCCTCGCAAATTGTTAGCAAAGCGATTCCCCTCCTTCGCCCGTGGACGTAGGCTATAAGCCAAACCACGTATATCCGTGTGTTATTGTCTTCTCGATATTTGCTTTCGTGTGGTTGATAATAGTTTACCTTGGGGATTTGTCATAGCATATATGTTGTTTGTAGAGTCTGACTTATATAGAGAATACATACTACTGAGTTTAAAAACTGAACCTCCTCTACACTTTCCTGTGGGTGTGTGTGGGGCGGGGGTGGGGGGGGGGGGGGGGGCATTGTAGCTCCACAAGCGACCAATCTTACTGCGTTCAACAAGCAATCAATTACCCAGGGAGGGACTATTCAATCAATGATTAGGAATTGTGATCATTCAATCTATGATGTAAATCATCATACTCTTATAGGGATCATTATGGTAGAATCATTAGTTACTAATGTAGTTTTATAACTGAACTTCTATGTTGTGAGGATCTAGAGAGAGACAATTCAATCAATGGTTAGAATCAATGATGTAAATCATTAACTCCTATGGGGATGGTTCTGATAGAATCCTTATTATTTGAGATCTCATAATAAAAACTAGTTTAAAATTTTTAAAATACATGTGTTAGGTGCTTATTAATAACTTGGTTATGAAGGTATTTGGTCTAAAGATGGGTGTACTTATGGAAAGGAATGTTAAAGTAATAATCTCACCTACTGATGTTGATAGGATAGTGTGAACACGTTTTATTGTTCATGTTTTAAATCTAAAGTTGTATTTTTATCTTGAATTTATAATTGTCCATGACAGGCCTCATACTTTACAACTGAATTAATTTCTATAGTTTTGGCCTAAGCTTTGTAAAATACATGTGTTAAGTGTTAAGTAATGACTTTGTAGGATCGAGGTTCATTAGTATAAGCAAACCCCTGTTTTGACCAACTTTGATTCGCTAAATCGACCCTCCTAGCAAAGTTATATTAAAATTCGTATTAAATGATGATTTAATATTGCAATTCTTTCGCTGATTGTCTGCATCAAAACAGAGAGATAGAAGCTCTGTTTTGATTTTGAGGAAAAAGGAAATGATTTTGAATGACAAGACGAGACAACTAATTAAAGTTAATAACCGCGTCAAACTGGTCAAAATAATTTTTTTTTTTACCATTACCAGCAGACTAATCCCATAATTTTCCATAAATTCGTTACCCATAAAACTTCCACCCGCTCCCACTGACCTCGTGTTACCATAAAATACTTGCGAGTCTCTCCACCCTGATAGGGCCCACTAGAATGGAAAAATTATAAAAGCGACTTAAGGGGTGTTTGTTTGCATGCAAGTGAAATATGAAAGTGAGAAAGTTATTTTTATTTAACATAGATGTTTGTTTGCATGTAAGTAGTTATAAAAGTGAGATACAAGAAAGTTGTCACATATGATTTAATGCAATTTTGACTTCCCCTTAAAAAGTGGTGCAGTCACATGAAAGTGACAAAAAAAGTAACTAATTTAATTAAATGATTTTAATTATATTTTCTAATTAATCTTATTTTGTCACGTCATCTTCACATTGCACTTTCGATAATAATTTAATTTTTCAAACAAACATTATATTTCACTTACGTGCTAACATGGATGTAAAAATTATTTGCAAAAAAAATAACTTACATATTCGGAATTCTATCCGTAAGTCGTTCTGCTTCCCGTAGGGGAAATAAAAGGCGCGATAGAAATTTAACTTCCTTAATGTAGGGATCAGAACAACCCTCATGCTTTTCTGAATATATCTCAATGTTGGATTACATTTTATTTTATTTTATTCCACCAGTATTTCTAACTCGAACGTAGATAAAACCTTTTAAACCACTTGAACACGGATAAAACTTTTTTATAAACCATAAAGAAATGGACATTTTTAATGAAGAGAATCAAGTTGATGCATCAACGAGACTTGGAGTGGCAGAAATTGTTTATTGTTGCTCAACAACCGCCGCTAACTTTACTTGTGGCAGATAATTTAAATCGGAATAAAGTTGAACGAGAGAGAGCACGTCTTAATCTCACCAAATCTCCATCATTTCATTGGTCAACTTTCCGCCAACCATGTTATGGAGCCGTTCGTTGCTTCTGTGTGAGGGGAAAAAAAAGTATGATTTTTTTTTTTAGAATGGAAAAAAAAAAGTATGATAGCGATGGAAATACATGAGATTCTATTAATTTAGTGCGCTATCAATTTGGTGGATTAGGTGAGTATTAGGAAAAGTATAGGAGAAATTGATATCTCTGAGGAAAACCTTGCGAAGGTAAAAGAGACAGTAATCTTAATATATTCTCAGAGTTCTGAATTCGGGGGAGAGCTCCAAGTTTTGATCATTGTAGAGGTTAATGTGCATTAAATAGAGATTATTAGAAATCAATTTTAACTCGAAGGCTATATCCTATAGGCATCGGTCTAACTCCTATTTTAAACTCATCATTCTTTCTTACAGTACCCCATCAAATGCGGGACTATACTCACTTATTAACCTCAAAAATTAATACTCTTTTCTATCCTACTCAGATGTGACACTAATACCCCAACCATCTTGCCGAAGTCCAAGGTTCAACCCATCACGCATCAACAAACCAGCTTATAATTACTTGATTCTCTTAATTAAAAAAATCATTTTCTCCGTGATTCAATAATTTTTTTCTATGCTTAAATTTCAACAGTTGACATAACTCGAGAATCAAATAATGAAGCTCAAATTTCCTTTGGGAGAACATTTAAACATAGACGGAAATTCAAAATAATAATAATAACAATAATAATAATAATAATACAGAAGAGAAACTCTACAACCGTAATTATTATGAGAATTTAATCAGAAAAATTACAAGTTAATTAGGCAGTGAACTCCATAATATAGCATTATTGACAATATCTCCTCCATTGTTCTTGAGAGCTTGGACAGCTTTCACGATAAAGACACAGACGCTACTAGCCTGTGTCATGACAAGCTCGATGTCCTTGGGTTCAACTCCGGTGTCATCGATATCCTCTTCATCCTCATCGATGGGCTCTTTAGCAACTGCATGATCCGCTTTGTTCGCAGTTGAATTGATGACTTCAGGCATCTTGAACTGCTGAGCAGCCTGAGCTTGTGGCTAGGAGCTCAGAGCCGAATATGATGCAGGTTCCAGAGTTTGGACTCTTAAAAGAAATTGGGTTTTGAGATGACAATTAAGATCCGCGACCAGCAAGGGAATGGAGCCAATTTGGCGATAGATAAAAGTATGGGAGGAGGAAACGAAGTAGACTCATTTTATGTCTGAGTAACTTCAGGGTACCATTTCTCTCTGCTTATGCCGTGATCTTCCTGAGACTTCGTCTAAATTCAAATTTTCGATTTCATCGAAGAATTTCGAGAGAAGTTGAAGAGTGGGGAGGACATCAATTGTATGGGCAGAGATTCAGTTCATCAAAGCAACACCAGAAACAAGATTCCAGGCTAGGGCTATCCATACGTTAAAACATGGGGCTGGCAAGAAGAAATATGAGCGAGGACTAGGGCTACATGCTTCTTGTTTCTCAAATGCATCGCTTATACATCTCCTAGCGTCTACATTCTCCATTTATATAGTTTATGCTGCATAACAAACTTCGGTCACCTGGATATTTTTTGCATGTAAGAAATCAATAGTTCTAGCTGGATATGCAAACAAGCCCTTTGAGATCATAGTTTCATGGGTTGAAACGGACTCTTATCAATCGCCCAGGGGTTTCAAAAATGAATATGCAGCGCATGATACACGACCGAAAAGAGTATGATAAGCTTTTCAAATTATCCAAGGTATTGTATGATGGAATATACATCTGAATAAATGTATACATATATTTAAGGACCGTCCAATAAGTATCAGGTACGAGTGCAGACCGTGTTAAACGCAGCAGTTGTGGCTTTATATAGAAGTACTCAGGTAACATAAAAAAGCGAAGGAAACCCAACATTCCACAAGGGAGAGAGGATCGAATAGGCAGAACGTTAGGAAACAAAAACATTAAAGAAATCAGAAACTATGCAATCCAAACTTATTGCAGCCATATCACGTACATTCATTTCAATCATCTACGGTGCCAAACATGACACGCTCAGGCGTTGACACTGATCAATAAAATTGACACTTGCGGTTAAAACAAAGAAGAAACCCAACATAATAGATAATGCAACAGCATCGTAAGCCTGAACTAGAAAAATAACTAAAAGCGGGATTAAGCTAACAAGCTATCCATTGGAAGTTTGGTTTGGCATTGCAGGGATAAAAATGAGTTTTTTTGCGAAGTCAAAAATTGCGTTGGGCGCTAAAAAGAGCTCGACCAACAATTCCAGTAGCCTCCATGTAGCGCTCCACACATCGAGAGATGCAACTGCTCTCACTACCACTCAAACTCGTACCTGGTTTTGTGATGCACCTTGTGAAGCACTTGCCTCTTACTGTCTGTGAATTAGAAGAAGATAGAGCAAATTAGGATAACGATAAGGATAATGATAAGGGAAGTATATGTTAAGGATTAATATACACCAACTGAAGTTCTAATCAGATATTCCTCTGATTTTACAACAAAGTAAACCTGAACTACGTGCTTTCCATGCATATTTTCATGTCTTGTGCTAGTTTCACTAATTTCCATAACTAAAAAGGGAAACTCATTTGTCTGAGTGGATATATTTGAATTTATGTATATTCCTTGCAAATTTGAAACCTAACAACTGCAAATAGTCAGCCTATCCCCCTACCTCATCAAGGAAATTTAATCCCACGCCTCTTAATTAAAGGAGATGCGCATGCGAATCGTTGAATGAGGTTCACAAACGATTCACATTATCTTCCCTCCTTTGCTATTGCTTCATTCATTAATGTATACATCAAGAATCATGTTTTTGTGTAAAAGACTATAACCACGTATAAAGACACTAACAACTATAAAATTTCGAACTACATTCCAAACACCCATTAAAAAAAACCAGACGTTGCATGTGAGACAATGTGAACATCATTAAGAAAAATGGATAGGTAATGTCAACTTTGCCTATCCCCCATTGTTAACACATCTCAGGGATATGAAGAAGAGTGGGCCCACCATGTCAAGAAAAAAAATGATACGGGTGCATTTTCAAAAAAAGTCAAAACTAGGAAAGCATATTACGCAAACCGCTTAGGCTCATCTACCAGTAGTTTGAGATAGTTTGAGATTGTATTAGGGGGTGGAATAGCTATGCATCATTAACAAGAATAGTGACTTCGCAATTATCAAAAAACTAGCATCACCAGGATTAACAGGTGTGCAGATGTAAACAATAGACCTGTGTAGTTGGATTTAGTGACTAGAATAGATAAGACTGACATATAAAGATGACACATATTACACCTCTAAGAGGATTGGCTAAGTCTGAGAAGGAGACTGAAATTTCTCCATCAAGATCAACCCGGTCTCGGTGGAAGTTTTAGATTCAATTAACATGAGAAACTTAGGAGGCAAAAAGAAAGAAAAATGACAGGTAAGATATCAAAGGAGAAATAAGAGTCGAATATGAAATTTGACGCAACTCTTCTACAATACAATAACGGGAAAAAATATAAAATACTTAAGACACTTAAAGATAAATGATCAGACTTGAAAATTTATACTTAAGTATCAAAAACCATAAAACAGATGTTTGTGACTTCTGCAGTCAGCATAGAAGAGTGTGGTGAATGCTCATTGATTCCTTAAGACTTCTAATGTCTAAAGAATTTCGTCTCTGAACCACCAATATAGGCTTTTATGAAATTCAGAATTGTTATCATGAATTTCCTGTTGGCCTTCTTGTTTTGATGATGATTTACAAACAATTTACATCTAATATTGTTTGTCTACTTTTATATTTATTCTAGGCAAACAATATGTTGGAGGTTGGATGGATTGCGCCATAACGATCATATCAAATGGAGGTTGGTGGAATAGTGGTTGAAGCCTTTCTATTCAAGTTAAAGATACAAGTTCAAGCTTCATCCGCAAGTGTACCAATATAGAGCTTCGTTGAAGATCAAGATTGCTTGGGTAACATTTAGTTTAGGTGTTATATTATATGCGTTGGTACGTTAAGCTCAATCATATACACACATACACGCTTTGGTTTTATATATATATAGTTATATATATACATATATGTTTTGGTTTGATAGTTTTCAAGTTTTAATATGAAATAATTAAATACAATTGGAAAACATATTTTGTTTCATACTTATATGCATTTATATGATTTCATCAATATCAATTTTAATTAGTTCAATGAAATCTTGTAGCATGTGTATTATCATGTCTACAATCATTTCCTAAAGTTTTATATTTTTTGGAATTTATTTGATATTTTTAAACAGGGTTTTAAAGTCAGTAAAATAGTTTTACAAAACCTGTTTCTCTTTAGTGTCAGTTTGCGATCGACTGCCATGGTCGATCGTTTTGAGTCTAGAGACTCAATATATGTTTTGATGGCTCGCGGTCGACCGTGACGGTTGACTGTATGCAGTCCAGAGACTTTCCAGCGCCCAATTTTTCCTTTTTGCTGCTCGCGGTCGACCGTGAGATTTCCACGGTCGACCGCCGCACTGTCTTTTCACCACCAACGGTTATTTTTCTACAGCTGTTTTTGTGGGCTTTTTGGTCATTTTGATTGGGTTTTTTGACTGAGGTTTTGGGAGGCTATAAATATCCCCTTGCTCTCATCCTTCAAGAGTAACAAAGAGAATGTTTTAAAAGAGGTTTAACAAAGTTTAATCAATGGTTTAAGTTTGTTTAAAGTGTGTTTATAAGCTTTTAAGCATTTGAGTATTTCGGTTTTGTGAATCAATTCCACAAAAGCTTGAGGAGATCATCTATTGAAGTTTGAGCTTCCAACTATTCTCCCTCCACCTCTTGATCTATTGAGAAGTTTTCTAAACTCTTATCTAGCTTTAGATTTGCTTAGTTATTTGATTATCATTCTTTAAAGCTAGTTTTTATATTGAGTTTAGATTTGATTATATTATCTCATTGTTACACACACCCACATTAAGTTTATTATATTTACATTCATAGTATAATTTGGGGTTGTGGGTTTATGACTAAGAGTTGTGCTTAATTGAGTTCTCATCTTGTTTAGAGAACAATCATTTTATTTGTGAGCTTTAATTGTGAAATCACTTTGTAATACACTTGTACACCGAGAGAAGTGTGTGACGAGAGTCGGGGATCATCCCAAGAAGAATGGCGTCGGTTGACGAACCTAGAAAGAGGTTGTATCCGAGCACTTGAGGGAGACACGTCTAGTTCAACACTTGAGAGGGTGTAGAGTGGGATTACAAGTGTGTTAGTTGTAGAGTTTTCGGTAAACTAGAAAACCGTATTGTGAAGTGTAAACATTGTTCGGGTAAACGTAAAAAACCCAGTTATGATAGTGGAGATCTCCTCGAGGTGAGGAGCGGAGACGTAGGTCGTGGGGACCGAACTCCGTAATCATATTATTTGTTTGTGATTGCATTGGCGCACTTATTTTTATGTTCATATCTTATATCGTCTTTGTATATTGCTTGTTGTTTATATTGCCCACTATCTAGTTTAGATTGTTTATCCTTGTGTTAATTATATATCCTTGCATATATCTCATAGTATATCTCATTGCTAGGATATTTATCTTTGTTCATATTGCTTATCCTAGCTCATATATCTTCTTGTATTTTATACTTGCTAGGATAACTTGTTATTAGTTTTAATTGGCATAAATTCGGATTAGATTAGCATAAGATCCTAATCACCCCCCCCACCCTTTTTTTAGGGTCTAATAATTGGTATCAGAGCTTGGTGCTCTTTGATTTAATGTCTAATCATCTTGAGTTAAAGCTCCAAGTTATTTTTTTGTGCTAATCTAGTTATGATTACATTTGTCTTGCTTGCATATATTCACATATATATCATGAATATAAATGTATTTCGTTTAGGCTATACTCCAAATATTGCTCCAAAATATAAAAATTTCTCTTATGCTCAATGGTGCTCTAAATTTAAAATATTTGTTGAATCTAGAAATATTAACTTATGAAAAGTTATTGATTGTGCTTACATTATGCCCACATTAGAGAAATCCAAGTGGAGCGATCATGATAATAAAATGTTTACAACGAACAAGCTTTTGTTAGAATTTTTGCTTAATGCTTTTGACTCATCATTTTCTAACAAATTTGTTCATTTTGATGGTGCTTACAAACTTTAAAAATTTATTGAATCACATCAAGAGGATTTGGAGGCAATCCGACAAGCTTTGGAGGATTCTTCTTCAAGTTCATGTGGAGCATCATGCACACGCGATTCGGATTCCGAAAGTGAATTATCCATTAACGAACTCGCTTGTGCATATGATAGATTAGCGCATGCCTATAAGAAATTATAAAATGATTTTATTGATCTTAAAAGCAAGCATGTAGAATTAAAATCCGATCATGAGTTGCTAGGTTCCAAATTTGATATCATTGCTAAAGAGAATGTTACACTTAAAGAAAATAATGATATATTGAATTTGGAAAATAAAAATTTGAGCTCATCTATTACTAGCTTAACTCATATAAATAAAGATACCATGCTAGAAGTAGAATACATTAGAAATGAATTTGATAACCATACATGCTCTACTTCTATTATCAATGATGTCGTGCCTAATGTTGAGTTGAATCTTGTAAAAAATCGCATATCATCTTTAGATTCAACATTAACTTCATGCATTGATAATCATAAGAAGCTTATGAATATGTGTGCCAAATCTGAGTCTAAATCATCCACTCATTATGCACACATATATAACAAAGTTTATAAATGCACTATTTGTGATCGTAAAGGCCATTTGTTTAAATTTTGCTATAATACACATAAACCTACAAAATCAAATGTTCCTTGTGCATCTCATCAAGCTTCTTCATCACACACTCATGCACATGCACATAATGTTCATCATAAACATGCTAGTGTGTATCAATATAATTATTGTGGTCATTTTGACCATTTGACAAAGTTTTGCTTTGATTTGAAAAAAAATTCAAGTTTGCCAAATATTTCTAGTAGACCACATGTTTTAAAATATGATGTTTATGGTAGATTTGACCATTTGGCGAAGTTTTGTTATGAATTGAAAAAATATTCAAACTTGTCAAATTTCTCAAGTAAACCACCTTTGTTTAAAGATGTTTCTCATTTGCGATATAATTTAAAAGAAAAATATTTATTTGCAAATGATTCCCGTGCACGCCCACTTGGTCAACACAAATCATTTAAACCTCTTCATTGCACCTATTACAATCGGAAAGGTCATGTGTATAATTTTTGTTTTGACCGTGCTAGTGCACCATACGTGCCCAAACGGGTTCATAACCCTAGGGCTTTGAGTTTAAATGATAGGGGTCATGTCCCTAACCAATCCGGCACCAAGAAT